AGAGAGAGAGAGAGAGAGAGAGAGAGAGAGAGAGGAGAGAGAGGAGAGAAAGAGAGATGAGAGAGAGAGAGAGAGAGATGAGAGAGAGGAGAGGGAGAGAGAGGAGAGAAAGAGAGATGAGAGAGAGAGAGAAAGAGAGATGAGAGAGAATTGGAGAGAAAGAGGAGAGAGAGAGAGGAGAGAGGGAGGGAGAGAGAGAGGAGAGAGGGAGGTAAGAAACTGTACATACCGGCCAGGTCCAGACAGCCCACAGTCCTCAGGGCGGCGTCCAGTTTCTTGATGAGCTGACGGGGGCTCTTACGTCTCTTGACGCGCTGCCACAGCAACAGGGAATGGACGATCTTTTCGGTTGGAAAAACGGGATGAGGATTAGAATAACGAGACTGCAAGTTAATTATATATAACTATACTTTGCATTTTTTTAAGTTAAGAAGCTTTATGACTGTGTTCGAGTTGAAATTAGACGCTTATATCGCCATACTAATTGTATAAATTGTCAATTCTATCACTGTTCGCCCGTTGTGAAAAAGACTTTGTTCATGACCTACTGCTCTCAGTTGTTTGGAGTCCAGTTATGGAACTCTGTTCATGCGAGTGTACCAGCTAAGTGTCGTGTTGCATACAATAATTGTTTTCGTATTCTCCTTAAGTTGCCAAGAGGTTGTAGTGCTAGTTCAATGTCTGTACACCTCTCCACCGATACTTTCGATGCTAGACGCAGTAATTCCTTCAATAATAGACTTTACGCCACCAACAATAGTATTATATGCTGTCTATTGAGGTCTGACCGTCAGTTCAGAAATACGTATTTTAAAAATGTGTATAAATTGTTATTGTTATTAGCCTTTCCCAAGCTAGGATACAACAATGGGGCCTGACAGGGATTCCAACCCAGAACCTTCGAATTCTGAGTCAACAACCCTAACCACAAGTTAGACCACCGTGCCACCTTTCATTTGTCTCTATCATTGAGCAATACTTTATTCGTTCATTCCATTTGTAAACCTTGTGGAATCCTGTAAGACGCCTTTACCTTGTCCTCTGGCAGAGCGTTCTCCCGCTTGGCGCGCTCGATCAGATCCTTGGACAGTCCCAGCTGCTTCATGAGGGCCGTCCAGTAGTACATCTCAATATTGGCTGCCAGAAACTCGTACACCTCTAACAAGTCTGTCACACAGAAATATTAATATAAGTAAATAAAGTACAGTCAAACTGTACAGGTGACCACGAACATGGGGGGAAGGATTAACAGCAAGTTTAAACTACGTAATTTCCAACACAAGACATTGGACTCACCCAGATTTTCGACTGTACAACTCCAGTCTTTGTCAAGGAATGAACAATCCACCGCTTCCGTGACGTCACGCAGATAACACACGTGACTCCGTGAGCAGTGGATCATAGCTGCAGAAAGTCTGTGGCACCCCCCGTCTCTGTTGAGGGATGGTTATACTGTAGTACTTTCTGCAACCTATGATCCACTGCTCACGGAGTCACGTGTGTTATCTGCGTGACGTCACGGAAGCGGTGGATTATTCATTCCTTGACAAAGACTGGAGTTGTACAGTCGAAAATTTGGGTGAGTCCAATTTTTTGTGTTGGAAATTACAGTTTAAACTTGCTGCATAATGACGTCTACCAACACAGATGAACTTTCAAGATATGGGGGGAAGGAAGTTGAAAACTAATGTGGCGACAAAAACATGATATACTAGCATGTGATACCATATGAACTGAATATTTTCATCAATGGTCCACCAGTGTTTATGACACATTTTCAAAGGTTGCAGCTTAGTTACAAATTCAGGCACTCTCATGGACTTCTTTACCCCTTTTCACAGTTCAAGAAAACTTATTGATCAGATTATATCGCTGCACTGCCAAAGGCAACATGACAAGTCTACATGTATATGCTTGTTGCTTACAGCTAGACATCTGGAATGTAAACTGTGGAATACGTTTGTGAAGATTACTCATCCAGGGTACGTACATGTAGTAACAGTGGAATGTGTATTGCATGGGATGCTGGGTACAAGCTTCCTTGGTCTAGACCCTACCATTAATTTTTCTTTGTCCCTTGTACTGTACCATCAATAAAGAAATAAACATTCGAAAGGTCACAACCCCTCAGACTGTTGTTCAGTACTGAACTGGCAGGCGGCGCACCTGTGTGGAGGTTTCTCCTCATCATCTCTGCCAGGTAGCCCTGGTTGGAGCCGACCTTGAGGCTCCTGCAGAGCACGGGGAAGGCGTACTCCCACCGCCCGCGGATCAACTTCAACAGCACCCGGTTAGCCTCGATCCGCGACCGGTGCTTTCGGTTGGAGTTAAACCTGCGGGGACAGTGTAACGTTCATCTCTGGAAAATTTGATCACTAGTACCTAGGTCAAAGAATTCTCATCGTTTGATAATAAAATCTTGAATTCCTTGTGCCTTTTGAGTTATAGAGTTACCAGCGTTGAGATGTCATTGTTTTGTACTGGATCTAGATCTCTCCTTAATTAAGTATACACATTTGTGGTCTATTTTATTACCTTCGCCGAGAAGGTTATGTTTTCATCAGTAGCGAATGTATGTATGTATGTATGCGTGTGTGTATGTGGTTTAGCACGATAACTCAAGAATCTTTGGGTGGATTGTCATAAAACTAGGCGGGTAGGTCTTGATGAGACCTAGAAATGATTAGATTTTGGGCCCCCTGGTGGCTTTCCTATGTACTGCAGCAGAACTTTTTATATCTCATGATCTAGACATGCTAGGGTCATGAATTTTAGATGGTAGATAGCTTTTGTGCTCGGAAAGAAGTCAGGTGAGTTTGGGCCCCCTATCAGCCTGTTCTGGAACTGCAGAACTGCAGGGCAGTTTGTTTAAAAATTAGGATAACTCAAGAACCGGCCGACGGATTGTCATGATATTTAGTACGTAGGTATGCTTGCCATAATCATATGACAATTATGCAAATGTGGAGCTAATTTACATAATCAATGAGAACTGATATAATCTATGATGGAAATGAAATTAGGATCGTATTTTTAATCAATGAGAAAAATGTATAATTTTGTCAGTAGGAATGGTTAACATCATTTGGCGAAGGTATGAGATCGTGAAACCCTTGTTTATTCATTTGCTTTTTTCTTTATTTCAAGCACGGATGCCGATATCATAACATAGTTTGAAACCAGTAATCAAACATAGAACACCAATATATATATGAATAAATAGATAAACCAATATACAAATGCATGCGAATAGATTAAAACAAAATACAGTGGTGGGTATGAGGGCTGTTTGTATACCGAGCTTACGTCACGTCAGTAATTACTGAGTGAGAATATGTCGGAATGGATTACAAGTTTTATGATACCATTATTGGAATTGAGAATGTGACAAATTTATGTGTTAATATTTTCTGCTGCAGGCTTCAAAAGGTGATCTACAAGGGTGAGTCTACAAGGGAACACAGAAGATCCAGGGACACGCGTCCGTTGCCATGACTACGCGTGAGGAATGTCACCCACCTAACTCTGGCCTCCTCCCAGGTGGTGATGACCTCCCCGCCGACCAGCAGGCGGAAGAACTTGTGATACTCGTCAAACATGTTCATCCGCTGGCACAGCACCTCGTAGTACTTCAGCCACACCGAGTCTAGGGAAACAAACAAACATATGCACTGTCATGCATAGCTAGCCTCTACCAGGCTTGGGGAGGCGGCTGGAAAGAGTAGAAATCGGCCAAATAGAGAGATAAGCATGCCAAGGGAGTTTGTCCGGTGAGAGAACATTTCGACTCCGCACAGGCTTGGGGTGCGGCGAATATGGCCTCCCGAACACTGGCCGAACTCCCCCCAACCATGGTTACGAGTAGGTCGGGAGCAAGTTCGGCTGGTGTTCGGCAAGGTCGGCTACTGTTCGGCTGCGTCAGATGAATGTTTCGAAATGTTTAGAACATGCAGTTGTGGACGAAAGGTTCGGCCATGGTTGGCTGGTGGTTGGCTGATGTCCGGGAGAAGGTTGAGGCGTCGTTGGCAGTGAAATTCAACTCATAAAGTTGATTGAAATTCAATTAATTCGATTCGTATAGAAAGGAAGGCGTGGCCTAGATCTGGTCAGGCTGCTCCCGAACGTCAGCCAACCTTGATCAGCTGGTGTTTGTGGGAAGGTTCTGAATGTGACAGGGGCTACAGCCAACCTTGGTCGGCTGGTGTTCGGGGGAAGGTTGTGAATGTGTGACAGGGGCTTCAGCCAGCCTTGGTCGGCTGGTGTTCGTGGGAAGGTTCTGAATGTGTGACAGGGGCTTTACTCCCAAACTGCATAATTGGAATACAGTGTGTTTAATGCTGGCAAGGACGAGACTATTTAATGCGGTATGGATATCAGAGAAAGGTATAACAAAGTTATGATACTTGCATATTTAGTAAGTGTACAATTTTGTTCTTGTCCGAACAAAAAAATGCAAAGTACATTCAATATTTTTCATCTGTATGCCATTATTGCCAAATCACCGAATCAACTGATGATGACTGTTAATAGATCATGTTAAGGACTATTTGGGGATTTTTTTAGAATTGCCCTTCGAAAAAAGAGCGACGAAAACAGTGGTAACAACTTTTTTTCTTGTTTGTGACCAAACAAGTCGATGTGGGGTGCCAGGGAGAACAAAATGCACGACTTGAAAACTTTTCATCTGAACTCGGGTGGAACGGGAACTTGTATGAGTCTTTAGAAACGGTGTAACCCACACGGCCTTCTGACCGATATCTAACCCGCGGGGCTTACATGGCGAAGGGCAGATGTCAGGACACGCTGTGCACGTGAAAACCCTTCTGGTAGGTAAACTTATAGCAGTCATCGGCTCCTAAACAACGCCGGGGTGGATACATGCCTCCACAGCCTTTTAAACCGCGGTCTCTCTCATTGTTAGCGCGCGAACGAACATCTTAATCAATAACTATCCCAAGTCCGGTTTCTAGCTGGCAGTTAAAAAGAAGAAATTGAACTTACGACCTGTATATTCAAGTAGGAGAAACTTGTTACAAAAAAAGTTGCGGGGACAATGTATCCTACATGGTTTGGATCAAAGAGAGTTTGTAAAATGGTTGCTGAGTTTGATTTAAAGATGTAATACTAGTATTTGGTTTCCATAACTCATGATGCTGTTTTTGTCATACTGTCATATATTGTCATAGGGCCCGAGTAATTTCTTAAACTGTTTCCGCTTTATGTAATGTATATGTATTATGTATTACACTGCTGTTGACCATTTGTACTACCTGTTGACTTCGAATAGTTGCGCTGACATTGGTTTTTAACATGTCACAGTATTATCCTCTGATACAATGCTGTATAGAACTTTTAAAACTCCGTATTTTTATGCAAATAAGTTCTAATCATGCCTCTACCCAAATTGCAAGTGTAGTTTTATGTAAATATGTTTTAAGCATATATATATACGAATTTTTATCCCTGTTGATGTAAATATGTTTTTAATCATGACTTGAATTATAAATGTCGTAACGCAATTCAGCCTTTGTGGCTGCTAAGTTTGTGGCATGGGTTTTTGAACTAAATAAACCATTCATTATGTACCGTGACAATAATATCGTGCAGTTACATGTCACTTTATTCTTACTTTTAATGAGCACAGTCTTCGACAATGCTATGCGACAGAACTTGATAAACGTATACTATTTTGGTACCTAATGTTTTCCTAAAGATGGCATTCAGTTCATTCAGTTAACATGGTTTAAAGGCGTCCAATGCAATTTCAGGGCGGCAATTCTCATGAAGTTGAATCAGTCCTATCCTATAGCACTGATGTCTGGGAGGCAAAAATGCGATTTCCCTGACAGAAAACGGTTGTTTGTTTTGTTTTGTTTTGTATATCGTAGGATGGTTCTAGCTATTTATGGGTGGTACCCATAATGTGAAATGGAATTCCTGTAGCTTGTGAGGAAAAACGCAATGTCGCTGACAAAAGACGGTTCCTTGTTTGCTTTGTCAAGGAGGTTTGAACCTGCCTGGTTTTGTATTGTAGCATGACTCTATCTATTTATGGGTGGTACCGAAAAAATAGAGGAACTACGGAGGTGGCTTATTTTGTGAGATATTTCAACTGCTTCAAGTATGGTAGTAAATGTCAATATCAGACAGATTTCATCACCCAGGATGTTTTGTTTACTGACCTGACTTGCATTAGATTCCTTT